CAGCCAAACCAACCAAACTATGGAAAGCAGCTACTAGCTGAGGCAGATCAGTAATCTGGATGCGTTTAGCTATCGTCAAACCTATTGAGAGTTGAAGACAGAAGGGAAGTCTTAAAAAACACAACTAATCTCTGCAGTTAGAAATGAATGTATTGTGGGTCAGTATGCAATGAATACATGCACACATATGCCTGTTCCAATGAAAAAATTTGTTCTACACTAGAAACTGCTCTGGCATTTAACTGAAAGCTGCACATGTGTATTTTGTGCAACGAGGCTATCATGGAAATTAGAAGATTAAAGCATATCATGTTTTTAGAAGCTTCACTACATGTTAAGAAATTCAACATTTTCTGTGCCAAAAGCACAGTGTGAAAAAGGGAATTTAGTGGCATTCACTCAGGAATTGAATGTAAGTATGAAGTTGGGCAAGTTCATTCACCTCTACATACCCAGTTTCCCTAACACAGATCATAGAATCACAGAGTAGTTTGGGTTGGAAGGGACCTTTAAAGGTCATCTAGTCCAACCCCCCTGCAATCAGCAGTGACATCCTCAACCACATCAGGTTGCTCAGAGCCCTGTCCAACCTGGCCTTCAATATTTCCAGGGATGGGGCATCTACCACCTCTCTGGGCAACCTGGGCCAGTGTTTCATCACTCTCAGTGTGAAAAACTTCTTCCTTAAATTTATCCTGAATCTATCCTCTTTTAGTTTAAAACCATTACCCCTTGTCTTATTGCAACAGGCCCTGCTAAAGAGTCTGTCCACATCTTTATTTTAAGCCCCCTTGAAGGACCGGAAGGCTGCAAGAAGGTCTCCCCGGAGCCTTCTCTTCTCCAGGCTCAACAACCCCAACTCTCTCAGTCTGTCTCTAGACTCGCTCCAACAGGCCCATGTCTTTCCTGTGCTGAGGGCTCCAGAGCTGGACACAGGACTCCAGGTAGGGTCTCCCCAGAGCAGAGTAGAGGGGCAGAATCACCTCCCTTGACCTGCTGGCCATGCTGCTTTGGATGTAGCCCAGGATATACAGTTGGCCTTCTGGGCTGTGAGCACACATTGCCGCTTCATATCGAGCTCTTCATCCACCAATACCCCCAAGTCCTTCTCGGCAGGGCTGCTCTCAATACTTTCATCCCTGAGCCTGTATTGATAGCAGGGGTTGCCCTGACCCAGGTGCAGGACTTGTTGAACCTCATGAAGTTCACCTGGGCCCATTCCTCAACCTTGTCCAGGTCCCACTGGATGCCATCCCGTCCCTCAGGTGTGTCAACAGCACCACTCAGCATGGTCTCATCTGCAAACTTGCTGAGGGTGCACCCAATCCCACTGTCCATGTCATTGTTGAAGATATTAAACACTACTGGTCCCACTATGGACCCCTGAGGGACAGCACTCATCACCAATCCCCATCTGGACATTGAGCCATTGACCACTACCCTCTGGATGCAACCTCCCAACCAATTCACCTTGCACTTAACAGTCCACCCATCAAATCCATACCTCTCCAATGTAGAGAGAAGGATGTTGTGGGGGACCATGTCAAAGGCCTTACAGAAGTCCAGACAGACAACACGAGTAGGTCTTCCCTTGTTCACTGATGTAGTCGGTCCATCTTAGGAGGCCACTAGGTTGGTCAGGCAGGACTTGCCCTTGGT